GGACAAATTCCAATACTCCGTTATGGAAAACTGGAGGAGATAATAACTAGAACAGAGTATACTACTGACTCCGGCCATACAATAGAGCGGAAAAATAATGTAAGGGACCTGGGAGTAGTAATGTCTGAGGATCTCACTTTCAAGGATCACAACAGTGCCACGATCGCACGTGCAAAGAAAATGATAGGATGGATACTGAGAACTTTCAAAACGAGAGATGCCAAGCCCATGATGATCCTTTTCAAATCACTTGTTCTCTCTAGGCTGGAATACTGCTGTACATTAACATCTCCATTCAAAACAGGTGAAATCGCAGATCTAGAGAGTGTACAGAGATCCTTTACTGCACGTATAAGTTCTGTCAAGCACCTTAACTACTGGGAACGCTTGGAAGCACTTGACTTGTACTCGTTGGAACGCAGGAGGGAGAGATATATCATAATCTACACTTGGAAAATCTTGGAAGGAATGGTCCCAAACCTGCACACAGAAATCACTCCCTACGAAAGTAAAAGACTGGGCAGGCGATGCAAAATGCCGCCAATAAAAAGTAGGGGCGCCATTGGTACACTAAGAGAAAACACCATAAGTGTCCGGGGCCCAAAACTGTTCAACAGCCTCCCATCAAGCATTAGGGGAATTGCCAATAAACCCCTGGCTGCCTTCAAGAGAGAGCTGGACAGATACCTAAAGTCAGTGCCGGATCAGCCGGGCTGTGGCTCGTACGTTGGACTGTGTGCGGCCAGCAGTAACAGCCTAGTTGATCAGGCCCTGATCCATCGGGAGGCCTGGTCATGGACCGGGCCGCGGGGGCGTTGATCCTCGGAATAACCTCCAGGTAACCTCCAGGTAACAAACTTGAATATGGTAGTGGCATATAGCTCTCTGATGCCCTTCATTCCAAACTGATTGAAGCCTATTCCAAGCACTAGTTAAATTAATGTATGGCATTAAGAGGCCTTTCCTGAAATAAAGAATAATGGGGGGTAGAAACCAATGACACTGAAATTAAAAGTCCCCAACTACTCTGATGTCACCACTGTGTTAACAGATTTCTATGACTTTGCAAATAAAAGTTCAAGAAATTCAAGACTGATGAATTAGATACTTCTGCAACACTTGGGTATCTTTAGCGTATCTTTAGCATATTGAGGGTGCAGTCCATCACAGCTGCAGGTTTTAGAATGGGTTCATTGGTCTCTCTATGCTGCCTGCCAGTGTCTGTCATTTCGTTTCGGTGAGCTGATGACAAGTGTGACATCTCATTTGTCATGCCACCGAAATGCCATGATGTCATTGGCAGCAAACGCCTGCACCTCACCTCTACGAGTGCCTGCGTTGAACCTAGACATATGTTTACGATTTGCATGCACTGTACCACACACCTGTCATGTACACTCGCAAAAAATCACCGAGTAATAATATATGCCCCTTACCAAGATATAGTTCCATCACTGTTCTAACCACATCACCAGATATACCCAATAACTTCCAGGTATCTTGCATTGTATTACTTCCAGTGTACACAATAATATCCAATACAAGACCACTGTAGCAATCACAAAGCACAAACAACTTTATACCAAAGCATTTCCTCTTGCTTGGTGTATACTGCTTGAACGACAGTCTACCTATGAACAAAATCAAAGATCATCAATAACAAGCTTCCTGAAGGTATAAAAACACACACTGAATTTCTGTTTCAGATACATAAACATATTTCTAATCTTATATAACCTGTCTTTTCTGTCAGGCCTGGTTTTGTCTGAGAAGTGTAGCATACGTAACAGTAGCACAAATCGATTCACTGGTATATCACTGAAAGCTGGGGTTGCAATGAGGCAGTCTGTAGACCAGTATGATTTGACACTGCTTATACACGTGGCATAAGCATTATTGTGGCAAACAAAAGATACATCTCAGCGACAGTTGTTTTCTTGGTTGTTTACAATATTTTTTTCTGCTATTAACATTTTTTTCTCTATTAACCCTTTGACTGTTTCGGTTGTATATACATGTCTTACGAGCCACTGTGTTTGACTTACAAATTGCTCATAAATTCTAGCAACTTCAAATCAAGCAGGAGAAAGCTGGTAGGCCCACATGTGAGAGAATGGGTCTGTGTGGTCAGTGTGAACCATATAAAAAAAAATCCTGGAGCACGCAGTGCATGAGAAAAAAAAAACTCCGACCGTGTTTTTTAATTAATATGCCGACTTTGTAGTCTATTTTCATATAGTATTTATGGTTGTATTCTCGTTTTCTTGGTCTCATTTGATAGAATGGAAAACACATTATAGAAATAGAGGCGATTTTGAATGGTTTTACTATAAAAAGAACCTGGAAATGGAGCTCAAAATAGGCAAAATGTTTGAAGTTTGCCAATGTTCAAAAGTAAACAAATGATGTCATTGCCCAATAAATGTCCACCTAGCCCTTCTAATAAGCAGTCATGAATGGGTTGACATTATTTGTACAATTATTAAAGTATTGCAGTAGTCTGCATGACAGTAAATCTTCTATTTTTTGTTTGAATAAAAATTCAAAATAGAAAGCAAGAGTAATATCAGAGGGGCCTGGAGATGTGACTGATGAACAAAGAAAATGTTATTTTAGAGCCAGGAATGTCTGCATTGTTCATTCTGAACTTCATTTTGAAATTGTCATATTTTTTTAATTTTCGTGAAATTGGCCAAATTGAAAATTTCTGACCACATTATTTGGTAGTTGAATTCAGTAAATGGGCAGTTTCTTGTACTCAATCAATAGAAAAAATGGAGTTCTAAAGAAATAGCTATGAGTTTGGTTGACTCGAGCAATGGAATTAGCCGAAAATAGGGCTCAAAGTGGGCGAAATCGCCGATTTGTAAATATCGCCGAGGTCGCTAACTTCATGGGAGCGTAATTCCGTCAGTTTTCTATCAATTTTTTTTTTTTGGTGCCAATACAATCATTTCATAAGAAATAATTATTTCTTTTTTTAAATTTTGCAACACCAGGAGACACCTCAGAATTGGAGGTTGCGACAGTTAAGAGGTTAAACTGTGCATTATTTTGTATAATTACATAGATTATCATGCATAGCAGCATATGTGTAGAGAACCTAAGATAACCCAAAAAAGTCAGAGTGACTTATTCTCTCAATTTTTTTTTTTTTTTGGAGCACTCGTTTTCGTCGATTATCTCGGAAGTAAGGTGTTCATAAATTACAGTGATTACAATCATGATAAATTTAGATTAGCAATGTTATATCACCAGGTAGTGCACAAACAGCTTCTCACAGTGCCAGTACCTGGCTAGGGCTTGCCATATATGATTTTTGGTAATTTTTTTTTCTCAGTTGTTTGTTGGGCTATCTTATTGAAACTTGGGCAATGTATGATGGAAAGATGCTTCTTAACATACACAACAAATGAATGAAATTGGACAATAAATAACGGAGTTCACTTCTCAGCCATTAACCCTTTGACTGCCATCATCATTACTGAAGTCAGAGGCCTGGCCACGCGAAAATAATAGTTTTCTCTTGCGTTGAGGTACAACCGACCGTGACTGATGAGTGCCCACACCAGAGGTAGAAGGTTGAGGATCGTCAGGGTTTTCTGCACTATCATTGATATCCTGGTCATTCCTTTCGGTCACTAACTGATCAAAGCCAAAGAATTCTGTCTTCATTTACACTTCCATCACTGTCAGAACTATCAGATAGAAACAGGAGAGTCCCAATTTTCCTTGGAGTGAGAGCTGCCTTGCGACGAGGCATGGTGAACAAGGGTAACTGAGCCGGTGTTCCCACAATGCTATGCGGGCGCCTAGATTTTTTGTTTATGGTGCACACCCACCACGCAGACCCGTTCTCTCACATGTAGGCCTATGAGCATTTTCGCGCTAAATTTGACGGCACTAGAATTTTGGTGTAGATCTATGGTTTGGGCACTCAACGTGAAGCCATAGATCTACGGGACGGACCCTGAAAGGGTTAAATGCCATCATAAACAAAGGGAGATGTAATGAATAATTCATGCAGTGAATTGTAAACAAAAGCCTTACATACTATTAAGGGCGGTTACTGAGCCACCGCAGACTCATACACGTTTTCTCTGAAGCTGAACCCGAGAAAACGTAATGTTTACCCTCCAGTCAACCCCACCCTTCAATAGTATATAAACATCGCATGTTTATATGCTATGTAACATGTTTCTTACAGTATAATTTTGAAGAAAATATCATAGATGGATTAATGAAAATGTTTATATTAATGTAAAATAAGACATTTAATGTGCCCAAGAGTAAGTCACGAACGTATAAGCAGCCTGGGTGGATATGTCTGGTACCATCGATTTCCGAGCCAATATACAAAACCGGTTGGGGGAAGAGATTTCGCTGAAAAAAGTGTTTGAAATCCAAATTGTACATTTTCCACACCTGCTGAAAACTGGGGGTCCACTGTATTACATTCATTCCTTCCATTTTAAATCCAGGTTAGGAGTATTCTATGAGTGGGGAATGTCCACAGAGCCACTCATAGTGCCAGTCCGGCTCAGCTTGTTGCCAAGTGCCATAATCAGTAAATTTTCTTTTTCTCAGTTGTTTGTTGGCCAATCTTTTTCAAACTTTGTCACATTCCTTTACATTTATGCTTTTAAATGTACACAAAAAAGAAAAAAAACAGACGAAAATTAACGAAAAAAAATTGGTCACGGTCTCCTTCAACTACTCTGCTGCTTTTTGTTGATGTTAATCTTTTAAAGGCTTAGCAAACAACGCTTCTGCTGAAAAACTATACCAGTATATAATATAGGACTGAGTTCAAAATATGTTCAATTGGTTTACCCAGTACCCTGTTCACTGTATGTTAATATTAAGCAGATTAGTTATACATATTTATTAAGTGATATGTCTTATGACACACAAAATGAGTTTAAATATGAGTGGAAAATTTATTTTGTGATTTCTAGATTTGGGGAAATAATGTAAAGTACATAATAAGGTTAACATACCTGTGAGAGATCCATTGGTGGTAGGCCTTGAGCGCTTTATCACCGACGTCTTTTGACTGTCCGACAGCCGGAATGTATCCCCCCTGTCACCTTTTACAAAGTCTTCAGAGAAAATATTTTCTCTTTTAAAACAAAGTTTTGCATTGTTCTGTGATTTATAAAGTTTTCTAATGTTTCTTCTTCTGGCATTCCTTCGGAATCTTTGTAGCTGATGACGCAAGTGTTTAGCACATTCTCTACTTATTCCCACTTTAGCAATATCTTTAAAACGTCTAAAATCTTTCGCTTGTAGTCTATGCAATTTAAGAATCGGAAGGCCTACACTAACATTCTGGAGATTAGGAACATGCCTTATAGGGCTCTTATCACTGGGTGGGATACAAGGTTCCTGATGAGGCACAACAGGAGGACACATGAGTGAGGACACCTGACTGGTCTGCAACAAACAGCCAAGTGGATTTGATGAGTTTTCTGGCAGGAGTTCAACCCCATGTTTGCTATCCATGGTGACTGTGTCCTTGGAGTGAAGTATCTCACCCATTTTCTGCTCCCATGTGTGCTTCGTAACCTGCCAGTCACCTTCTCAGTAGTTTAAGCACATACTTGCTGCAGACTCCACATTTACAACTACATTAATTGAAATCTTCAATAAGCATTATTCACACAGTTTTGAGCAAATTCACTTATAAAAGCAACTGGTTAGGTGTTTTTTTCAATTAATGAAATACTATACTACACAATGTTTAAATTAATAAAAAAGTCATTTTTGCTGCATTTTCTTTGGTCTTCTGTATACTGTAGTATCACTGCCACAGACTAATATTTCACTGTGGTAGCTATCTGGAAAAAAAAAACATGAAATTCAATTACAATAATTTATTTACCTTATCTAATTTAAATTATATAGCTTAAGCATTTTCCCAAATTACTAGTCATGGTTTGTAACAGTAATGTATTTCAAAAGTAAATTTTTTAACTACAGGTACCTACAGTAATTAAAACAACCCACAATAACAGCAATGAAATTACATGTAGTACCAGTGAGGCATCTTTCTTTAAAATAAATTTTATATTACAATATAGTTCTTCCAATTGTGGCTCTCAGGCTAAAGAAAACAACACATTTTTATTTTTACTTTTTTTAAAGCTGAAAGCGTCTTCCCGTCTCAAGATATATTAACCAGGAGCTAATGAAAATACCAAGTAGGTATAGAGACATGCTGTATATACTGATAATGCAGAACAAGCCTTTATTTTAGATGGTGTTTTGTTCAGGAGTGAGTTTTGTCAAGTCTACCTTAATAAAGGTAGACATGATAAAACTCACTACTAAGTGAAGGGTCATCATAGATAGTCTTGTTCTACATTACATTTTTATACTAAAACATAAATACTGTAAAAATATTCCTTGCTTTAAGCAGTTTAACAAGGCAGCATGAATGACTGAGGCCCTGTTTGATGAATGGTTCAGGTATGTACAGTATTACAATAAAGTGCTTAAAGACTGCTTGCATGACAATGTTGAATAATGACCAAAATAAACCTGGAACCATTCTTGTATAACAACTGGCTCCCACTCCTATAAGTCTTTCCCTTTCTTTTACTCCCTAATCTAACTCCCATCATTCCTTCCAGTTCCAGTATGTGCAGATGCTGGCTGCCCTTTACACTGCTATGCCTCTAGTCAACAAAGAACTTATGTTTGGAGTGCACATTACATATACTACAGTGGAATGCCGAGTTTCGTACAGCTCCCAACTCAAACAATTATGTAAGTGTATTATTGTAAGTGCTTTTGTAAGTGTGTTTTTGGGGGTCTGAAACGGACTAATCTAATTTACATTATTCCTTATGGGAACAAATTCATTTGGTAACGGCACTCAAACAGCCTTCTGGAATGAATTATGGCCAAAACTCGGGGTACCACTGTATTTTAAAATTCCTTATTTCCACAGTATTTCCAACGATCAATGATGTTATATGTTGTTATCAGTTTGCATCTTGAGTTATAACATGGGCTCTCATGGGAGAATTAGGGTCAATATAAAAAACACTTAATTTTTTTATTAGCACATCAACCGTTTCCCATCAAGGCAGGGGTGACTCGAAAAAAAAAGAAACACTTTCATCATCATTCACTCCATCACTGTCTTGCCAGAGGCATGCCTACACCACAGTTAAAAAACTCCAACTTATAAACACCCCTCCTTCAGAGTGCAGGCACTGTACTTCCCACCTCCAAGACTCAAGTCCAGGTAACCAGTTTCCCTGAATCCCTTCATAAATGTTACTTTGTTCACACTCCAACAGCACGTCGTCATAAAAACCACTGATCTCCACTTGCTCCTCTCTAACAATCCCATGTATGTTACAAAGGAGCTGGAAAGTCCAAGCCCTTCAGCCCTCCACAAGCCCTTCACAAGCCCTTCAGCCCTCCAAACTTTCCTAGGATGACCCCTACCCTGCCTTCCTTCCCCTACAGATTTATATGCCCTCCAAGTCATTCTGTTTTGTTGCAGCCTCTCTAAATGAGGGAACTACCTCAGCAACCCCTCCTCTCCCCTCTGGATAATACTTTTAGAAACCCTGCACCACCTTCTAATCTCCAAGTTATTGATTCTCTGCATTATATTCATACCACACATTGCCCTCAGACATGACATCTCCTCTAGCCTTCTTCTTGTTGCAACATTCACCACCCATGCTTCACACCCATATAAGAGCATTAGTACCACTATACAGTACTCTTATACAGAGGACCCTCGAGTTTCGGCAGCCTCGACTTTTGTGAAATTCGGCCTTCGGTGAGTTTTTTGGGGCAAAATTTGGCCTCGAGTTTCATGATTTGGCGGCCGTCCGGTACCCGTCTGCCCATCACCGCGCACACCAAGCCAGTCTCCCACGCCATTCACGCTCAGTGTGCCATTGTTTACCAACATGTGACCATCACTCCGCGGGTTCATACAATACATTTCATAATAATCCATTGTTTTTTGTGCTTGCAACTGCTAAATAAGTCAACATGGACCCAAGGAAAGCTAGTGCAAGCCCTTTGATAAATAAAGTGAGGAACACGATCCAGAGGGATTTTGAAGGGTTTGAGGCAGACCCTGTCCCTGCCGACCCTCTGCCTGTTGTGGAAGGTGTTGTGGCATTGGGCAAGTCCATGGGGTTGGAGGTGAGTGACGGGCATGTGGAAGAGTTGGTGGAGGACCACAGGGAAGAGCTAACCACTGACAAACTGCAAGAGCTTCAACTGGAACAGCATCAGACCACAGCCGAGGAACTTGCTTCAGAGGAGGAGGAAGAGGGAGTGGATGAGGTGCCTTCCTCAAAGATTAAGGAGATTTGTGCCAAGTGGAATGAGTTGCCAAGTTTTGTTGAAAAGTATCACCCTGACCAAGCTGAAACAAGCCATATCTGCAACATGTACAATGACAGTGTTGTGTCCCACTTGTTGTGTCCCAGAAAAAGACCTCTCTGGACAGATATTTTGTGCGACAGGGGTCCAGTGACTCTAAAGTTGTTCCCAGTGGCATTAAAAGAAGGGAAGTAACCCAAGATAAGGACTTGCTACCTGAAGTCCTAATGGAAGGAGATTCTCCTTAAAAACAATAGTGTACAGCTTCCTCATATCCCCTCCTCCCGTCATCCATCCACCCAGAAGTCTTCAGTAAAGGTAAGTGTAATGTTGTTATTATTTTTTATATGCATGTACTTGATTTCTCATTGATTTCAGTTTAATATTCAAATCTTTATTTAATTTTGGAAAAAAATTATTTGATTTAATTTTGGTGTAATCGGAACTGGAGTCCATTTATATTCCATCTAATTTCTTATGGGGAAATGGTTGAATTTTCGGAATTTCGACTTTCGGCAGGCTCTCTGGAACGGATTAATCACGAAACTTGGGGGTCCACTGTACATTCCCCTCTTTGCTTCTGTAGATAACATTGTCTCCACAGACTCAGTGCTCCACTCACCTTTTTTCCCTCTATCAATTCTGATTCGCCGCATCTTTCATAGACCTATCTGCTGATAAGTCCACTCATAAATACCTGAATACATTCACTTCCTCCATACTCTCTCCCTCCAATCAGATATCCAATCTTTCACCACCTAATTTTTTTTATCCTGATCACCTTGCTCTTTCCTATATTCACGTTTAATTTCCTTCTTGTACATACCTTTCCAAACTTGCTCACCAACCTCTGTAACTTCTCTTCAGAATCTCCCAAGAGCACAGTGTCATCAGTAAAACCAACTGTGACAACTCCCACTCTTTGTTAGATTCTCTCTCTTAACTCCACACTTTTTTCCAACACCTGAGCATTTACTTCTGTTACAACACCATCTATAAATATGCTGAACATCCATGGTGACATCGTGCATCCCTGTCAAAGGCCTACTTTTACTGAGAAATAATCAACTGCTCTCCTACATACGCAAACTTCAGCCCCCACTATCCTTGTAAAAAAAATTCTTAACTGCTTTCAGTAACCTACCACCTATTCCATACATTTGCAACATCTGCCACATTGCTTCTCTATCTGCCCTATCCTATGCATTTTTCAAATCCATAAATGCAGTGAAAACCTCTTTACCCTTATGTAAAGTGTTCACCTACATCCTTCAATGTAAACAATTGGTCTACACACCCCTACCCATCCTAAAAGCTCCTTGTTCATCTGTGATCCTGCCCCCAGTCTTACTCTTAATTCTTTCAGTAATAACTCTACCATACACTTTACCATATACTTTTTTTTTTATTAACACATCGGCTGATTCCCACCAAGGCAGGGTGGCCCGAAAAAGAAAAACTTTCATCATTCACTCCATCACTGTCTTGCCAGAGGGGTGCTTTACACTACAGTTTATAAAACTGCAACATTAACACCCCTCCTTCAGAGTGCAGACACTGTACTTCCCATCTCCAGGACTGAAGTCCGGCCTGCCAGTTTCCCTGAATCCCTTCATAAATGTTACTTTGCTCACACTCCAACAGCACATCAAGTATTAAAAACCATTTGTCTCCATTCACTCCTATCAAATACGCTCACGCATGCTTGCTGGAAGTCCAAGACCCTTGCACATAAAACCTCCTTTACCCCCTCCCTCCAACCTTTCCTAGGCTGACCCATACCCGGCTTTCCTTCCACTACAGATTTATACACTCTCCAAGTCATTCTGTTTCGTTCCATTCTCTCTACATGTCCGAACCACCTCTACAATCCTTCCTCAGCCCTCTGGACAACAGTTTTGGCAATCCCACACCTCCTAACTTCCAAACTACGAATTCTCTGCATTATATTCACACCACACATTGCCCTCAGACATTACATCTCCACTGCCTCCAGCCTTCTCCTCACTGCAACATTCATCATCCATGCTTCACAACCCATATAACAGCACTGGTAAAACTATACTCTCATACATTCCCCTCTTTGCTTCCAAGGATAAAGTTCTTTGTTTCCACAGACTCCTAAGTGCACTGCTCACCTTTTTCCCCTCATCAATTCTATGATTCACCTCATGTTTCATAGACCCATCTGCTGACACGTCCACTCCCAAATACCTGAATACATTCACCTCTTCCATACTCTCTCCCTCCAATCTAATATCCAATCTTTCATCACCTAATCTTTTTTCCTCATAACTTTACTCTTTCCTATATTCACTTTTAATTTTCTTCTTTTTACATACCCTATCAAATTCTTTAGCCTTATCTAAATACTGTTCACCTATATGTTTCACTGTAAACACTTGGTCTACACACCTCCTACCTTTCCTAAAGCCTCCTTGTTCATTTGCTATCCTACTCTCCATCTTAATCTTAATTC